GAACTCTTCCAATTTTTGAAAAATAAAACCTAAGTGTTCCACAGTTAGGCAGATATTGTCTAAATATTGTTTGTTTTGTTTGAGGACATAATTATGGCACATTTATTTTTGTGTTTAAATCAAAAACAGAATTACTATTATGTAGAAAATAAGAGTATTTCAAAAGATAGTTATCTCAACATACAAAGGCACATACAGAGTTGGTATAGACAAGGCCACCAAGCTTAAACACTGTGATCTAATATTTTTAAAATCTCAGATTGGCCTTTGCCCTTCTTTGTCTGCACCAAAATTTTCCAAATAAACTCTGTTTATTCACCAGGACTATGAAATAATGCCACAGCACATAACTTGATGAGCTATTTAAAGCAGATTTAGTGACAAAGATAAAGTATTCCAACAAGAATAAACTACAAGTTCTGAAGCACAATGTTTTGTGATGCAGTTCTGGCATGGATTCTAAATTTTCTAAACACCTGCCAAAATATAACATGTGTTTTGATTCATGGATTGGAGAACTGAAAAAAAATCAAGACATTACTTAGACCAATCTCCTGCCTCTGGCAGTTCAACATTTATACCATCCAGATTGATGGCTATTAAGTAATACAGCTTTTTTAAACGAACAAGATAGCAATCTCACATCCTCCTTGGAAGTCTCTTTTAATGTTTCATCATCCTGAAGTGATGACCAGCAGCTCCAGTTATCTCAAACTTTCTGTTCTGCAATCAAAAAATCATTTCTTCTCACCACATTGGAGATAGGTTTGGGACTTCCCTGTACATGCCTTGTTTGTTATAAATACTCCCTAAGCTTCAACTTTTCTCCTTTCTCTATAGATCTTTTTTCATACTTATTTCTTCTCTCTTTGAATGCTATCCATTTTCCCAAAATCTTTTTTTTTAAGCTATATTCTAGCTGCTGTTTGAAAAGAAAAACATTAGAATAACTTTTCTAAGCTAAATCTTAAATAGATTATTTGTATAGCTTATCAATAAGCATGCAATTTGGAAATAGCCAGTGGTTGGGGGGAAAAACAACTTGAAAAAGTTATTGTGGAAAATTCCAAAGTCATCAGAATTCTTCTTTTTTCTGTAGATGACATGGGAATTTGGAGAATGTTAATAAAGTTAACAAAGAGTATATTTCAATGGCAATAGGCATGTATAAAATATCTTAATATTTTCTTCCTGTTTAAATATAATACATAAAGCAGAGGTCTTATGGCAGAAGAGATAATCCAATTTTCTTTGACAGAATAAAATAAAATTTTAGTCTGCATTTCTAGGAGATCAGTGTTCCACCATTCTCAGTGGGACTTTTGCCCAACTAAGACTTGGATTTATCAGAAGAACCAAGTAATGACTTTACCCTAGTTTGCTAATAGAATTCTTACATTTGTACGTATCAGTTTTTCTAGCCTTGCACTTCCTGCTATGTTTATTCTGTTTATAATAACAGAAACATAACCTGCAAGTTCGTAACTAAACATATCTTCTGTATATTACTAAGATATTGGCACTAGACAGCAGGGGGCACTGGCAATATATACTAACCTAAATATCGTGACTCATATAGGAAGGAAGTGATAATTCAAAAGTACCAAAAGCACTGCTATTAATATAGCTATCAATCAAAAATATCTAAATTCTGTCTACTTTCATCACCAACTCTCCCTTATAAGTAACCACAATCCAAAGATCTCCATATATTCACTCTAATATAGACAATACTTCATCATATTCAATTAAACAAAAATAGTTATCATTTAGTATAGGCTTACTTTGTACAAGACATTGTGCTAGTTATCTTATACAGACTATCTTGTTTTATTTCTTACAAAGCAGTGCATTTTCCTATTAATTTACAGAAGAAGACACTGAATGGCAAGATCCTATGTGGCAAGTTATGGGCTCAGCCACTAGTCTATATGCTTCCTGAAAGCAAAAACCTGATTAGTTTTGTTTGCAGTTAAATTTCTAACACCTAATATAGTGCCTATTGTTGTTGTCGTTGGGTGCCGTCGAATCGATTTTGACTCATAGCAACCCCATGTGACAGAGCTAAATTGCCCCCACAGAGTTTTCTAGGCTGTAATCTTTACAGAAGCAGACCACCAGGTCTTTCTCCCACAAAGCCTCTTTCGGTTAGCAGCCAAGAGGAAGGGAAAAGACATGAGATCTGATTCCAGTACCACACGTCATATGGCCCTTAAAATGCTCTCAATAAATATTTACTCATTTCATTGGACTTTATAAGCCACTAGTTAATAGCTTTTGACTAGGCACCAGGTGTTAGAGGCATCAGTATTTGAAATATTAACATTTTACTTATTAAGACATATTTTTTCTAAAGTAGTATTAGAAGAGAAACAGTAAAAACAAAAAACAAAAACGTCATTTTTTTAAAAGATGGAATTTTAAAAATACAAATGTATGTACAACTCAAAGAATGTCATCAGTGTCACTGAACTGTACATGTAGAAACTGTTAAATTGCTGTATATATTCTCAACAACAAAATAAATAAAATTTAAAATAAAATAAAAATG